ATATATATATATATATATATATATATATATATATATATATATATCATAAATAAAATTATATAGTATTATCTATTATAACTATATAATAGATAAAGTTCAACATACCTTCAATTGTCTTTCTAATGAAATATTGATTTTTTAAAGACATTATAGTTAAATAGCTAGCATGAGTTATTTTAACCAGATATTCTGACTAGATATTTAAATCAAATATTATATCATTTTGAAAATATGGGGACAATAAAATATACATATAAAATTATTTACTAAAAAAATTAATCAGCTTGTTTGTCAATTGTACTTTGGTAAAACCAATTTATAGATTTATTCAACAAAACCAAAATAAAAATTTACCTCCCAAAAGCGGTGAACTACTACAGTCAAGGAGGCTAGTCCTTTTTTTTTCTTTTGAATTGATGTTCCTTTTTCATTAAGTTCAAAAGCTTGTTCATTTATATGTACGATGCTTTTTTTTCTAAATTAGATAAGATTTTAATGTAGTTTCATAAAGTTTTTAGTTAAATATTTTAATTTTAAACTACATTAAGATTTTAATGTAGTTTCATAAAGTTTTTAGAAAATAATATTTTGAAAAATTAAAATACATCTTTGTATTATTATTTTTTATTTTTAACTTATAAGAATACTAATGAATGCTTTGCAGGAACAATAGCAAACAACTGCAAGTATCTCCAATATTTTGAAATGAAAATTTTTAATTTTTCGATTAGAACATTTATTTTTAATTATAATATGTTCAGACATCTCTAAGACTAAGTAGGTACCTTTGTATTGGGTGGAGCCCAAGACAAAGGTACCTACTTTTCCCAATTTGCATTTATAGTATCTTGCATAACTAAATGAAAATCTCAATAATAAAATTTACTGATGAAAAAAAAAAATTCATTGAATAATTTTTAGAAAAGCAGTTAGCAATTTGTATAAAGTCATTTGATCATGAAGGTTCAAAATGAATAAAAGTAAGTTCTTCTTGTTATCTACTTTTAAATAATTAAAAGAATAATATAATGATAATAAAGAAAAATGAATTATTCATTTCTATTTATTTTATAGTTTTAGTTTTATTAATTGTTGGTTAATATATTTTTCTATAATTATTTGTAAATGCTTAAGAAAAGTTGTGTAAAGTTTAATTGTTTTTTCTTGTTTAAGTAAATATTGACAAGTTCTTGACAATTTTTAGTTTTACAAATAACAACCTTTGATCAATTGTTTCAGACATCATTTAACTAATAAAAGTTAACAAAATGCTTTGTTCGCTTTTATTTGATTTAACTAAATTTGTAAAGAAATGGTTTTATCAAAATAGTTCAAACAAATGCATTTAAAGTTAAATTAGTATTATAAATACTTAGTATTTTATTTATTATTTATTTTTATACAGAAATATATTTTTATACTTGTTTACTAAAATTTTCTAAAAAATAAAATTGAAAAACTAGCCTCACATCTACGTGATTGTAGTTGATTCTATTTATTTAAGCAGAACTGTCCAAATGTCCAAAAAAGTTGATAATGGTACTAGCTTTTGTTTTCTATGTTTCAAATCCCATTTGTTCCTTTTTTTATTTAACATAGGAATGCTTTTATAAAGTATAGTTATTTTAAAATAAAATGAGTAGTAAAATGAGTAAATATGTTTTTTATTATTTAGACATTTTTCATCTTTACATTATATATTTGTATATGATGCAATTTGTGTAATAGTTATATATTTGTATGTAGGTTTTTGATTTTTCTAAATACTTTAGAGCATGCTTGTTTTATTATTCTAAATATGTTAAAACTATTATTAATGAGTTTTAAAATATTTTACACTGTCCTTTTGAAGATCAGTATTTTAACCTTTTCCCTAAAATATATAATTTTTTTTTGTATTTAGTGTATTACTATTTGTTATATAATACTTTTTTTTTTCAAGTTTTTATATTTAAATTTCCCCTATGATTTTTTTATATTTGTACAAATTATGTGTTTATTTCGCATTTATTTCAAATTATTACTTTCTTCAAGTTTATATGAAATAAAATGATTCATATAAAAAGAACTCTATCTTTTATATATTTATTTATAGATCTATATGTTGAATTTATTTTGTGTTTGTTTCATATTTAAATTTTTTAAAATTATATCCATCTCATAAAAAAGTTAGTCATATATATTTGTTTTATTTTTAAAGTTTATATATATATATATATATATATATATATATATATATATATATATATATATATATATATATATATATATATATATATATATATATAATATATATCTGGGTGTGTAATTCCTCTCCTCAAGGTAGAGAGGGCCGCTACAGTTGAGGAAGCTACTTTTTTATAATTACAGCTCACTCCCAACCGTTTAACTCCAAAATACGAACGTTGACAAATAAGGTCTCTGTGCGAGAAACAAGTTGAGCGCAGTATTACCAGGAATATTGTGGGGATCAAACTCAGAGCTTCTCGCTTATAAAGTGAGTGCACTACTACTACCCCTAATAGGGACCAAATATTCAAATTTATAATGTTCTTAATAAATTTAATTATTAAGTCCCATATAAATGTAAAAATTATAAATTTAAATAGTTTTATGATTTTTTTTATTAATGTTAATAAAAATATTTTAAATATATGGTGCTATTTGAATGGTTGAACAGATAAAGATAATTAAATTTTTTTTTTTAAGTCAAATCAAAAATTAGATGAAATTTTGTTTAAAAACCATTGTAAAAAGACAATTTAGTTTTTTTTACATATTTTATTTTCAAACATTCATGTATTAAGAGAAAAATTAAAATCAAATTAAAAATTTATATCAAACTTTGTTGAAAAACCATTTAAAACAAACAGTTCAACTTTTTAGTGTATATTTATCTTTCAAACATTCTTCAAAATAAGTATTTTGATTATTACACTGTTACAAAAAGTAGTATGATGCACTTAATAAGCATAATAAAGCATAAATAATAAAGCATAAAAATAATAAAGCATAAAAATATAAATAATAAAGCATAAAAATTATTATTCATTATAAAAAAAATAATGACAGCAAACTACTTAATAAAAAGTCTTGCTCTAAAATCTCTTATTGATATTATCTGATGTTTGTCTAAATAATTTGTTCTGTTCAATTAGTCATCTAATTTTCGTTTTTTGTTATTTTTACATGATTAATAATTAAAGCTTTTTTAAAGTTAACCATGTGATTGTTTTATGAATACAAAAAATGTTGTTTTATATAAAGTCCATTTAAATTTTGTTTATAGCTTTTATTGTAGATTTCTATAGTTTATTTTGATTGAGTAACATATGGGTTCATTTTTAAAAGTATTCTGTTTTGTTTTAAGGATTAGTCAAAGATAAATTGTTATGTTTTTGTAGTTTTTTTTTTCCAGCACATGAAGTGATATTTACTTGAATTATATTATTTTGTAAAATCTATTTAAATTACTTTTTGTATAACAAACATATATTATATGTTAATTAACATTATATATATATATATATATAAATATATATATATATATATATATATATATATATATATATATATATATATATATATATATATATATATATAATTAAATTTATAGTGATTAGGTTATACTCTTTTAATTTCCATATTCTTAGGTGTCTATTAACTACAGAATGAATTGTTTATAAGAAATAAGGTTCTAATTTAAAACAAGAACACTATTTTAATTTATAATTATTGACTAAGAATTTTTTATATATACCTATAAAGTGTTTATTGTCTAGACATTTTTCAATTGAAAAAGCTATTGTTTAAATGAGAGGTTTATTAAGCAGTAAACAAAACATGAAATTTTACAATACAAGCATTAAAATATGTTCATTAAAGTGCAAACATCAAAAGATGTTCATTTTAATTTTTTTTTTTTAATTGTTTTTTTTTTTTTTTCTAATTTTCTTGAAGTTTTATAATTTTGTCTTTGCATAATTTTTTTATAACCTTTTCCAACTTATCTATTGAATTATAATATTTTTTTATTATTTTTTAATCTTTTTTATGTTTTGAGTTATTTAGGTTTTATCAATATATTAATTTTTAAAATTTTCTTAAAAAATTAAATGTTTACCTATTGTTATTATATAACTTTCACTTTCATATGTTAATGGAATCATGTTAATCACAGTAAAAAATTTTTTAGTTATTTTATTAATTTTACTATAATAATGATAACAATAACAATAACATTAAAAGTAATAATAATAATAGTAATAATTACAATATTGACAATTTAATAATAGTAATAATTACAATATTAACAATTTTACTATAATAATGATAACAATAACAATAACATTAAAAGTAATAATAATAATAACAATAATTACAATATAACAATAAAATTATTACTGTTTGTTAATGTTATTTTTTATTAATAATTATTAGCTAAATAATATTGTTTAAAATAATAGATAATAATGTTAATGATAAATAATAAGATGTACTATGATAATAAATAAATTTGTGTGTATATAGTATGAAATAACTATGTGACAAAATTACTTATATATGACAATAATAAAGAAAGGCTTTTGTTACTGTTGTCCTAATTATAAATGCCTTTAACTCTTAAAATTTTTTTTTGTTAACTATTTTTATATAAACATATTGTTACTATGCTCTATCATTAAAAATATTTTAATATTTACTTTAGCATTTATTTACTATATTTACTTACTAAGTGTTGGTATTTCTTGATGAATTTATTTTTAAAAGTTATTTTGCTAAGTGTTTAAAAATAACTGTTTATCTTTATTTGTTTTCTATTATGTTTTTTTTCATTTATTTGAACACACACACACATACACACACAAGTATGTATGTATGTATAACAAATATAGTATTTTGATAATAATGTATTGAATATTATTATAAAAAAATATTTTTATGTTATTTAATATCTAGGCTATAGTAAGTTTTTCAAGAAAGTTAATAAAATTTTTTTT